CAGTACAAAGCTATGTCATATGCGTCTGGGTCATCTCAGTGAGCGTGGGATGACATAATTGCATAGAAGAAATATGCTGCATGGGGTTAAAAGCTGCAACTCGATCTTTGTAAGTTCTGTATTCTTGGAAAATAGACTAGAGTCAGTTTTATGACTGGAAAGCACAAAACTGAAGGAAACCTTGATTATGTGCATTCTGATGTATGGGGCCCTACTAGGGAGCTGTCATTGGGAAGATATCAGTATTTCGTTACCTTTATTGATAATTTCTCCATTAAAGTTTGGGTTTACTTCTTGAAGCAGAAATCTGAAGTATTCTCTAAATTTAAGCTGTGGAAAGCTGAGGTGGAGAACCAAACTGACAGAAAGATCAAGTATTTGAGGTCTGATAATGGCACAGAGTACACAGATTCGCAGTTTCAGAAGTTCTGTGAGGAGCATGGGATTCAGAGGCATTTTTCAGTGACTGAATGCAGGGCTTCCTAAGAGTTTCTGGGCAGATGTTGTGAATATGACATGCAATCTCATCAATAGATCACATCGAACATCATTGGGTGGCAAGGCCGCAGAAGAGGTATGGACGGGTAATCCAGTTAAATTTGATCATTGACGGATTTTTGCATGTCCTGCTTATGTGCATGTACCTGGAGATGAAAGATCAAAACTTGATGCAAAATCCAAGAAGTGCATCTTTCTGGGCTACAAGAAAGGTGTGAAATGATACAAGTTTTGGGATCCGATTGCAAAGAAGATGGTGATCAGTAGAGATGCAGTTTTTGATGAGCAGTTTATGTTACAGCAGAATCAAGACGGTGTCAGAGAAGAGTTCTAGTTCAGATGCAGTGCAGATGGATTTAGAACAACAGCCAGTAGCTTCTGAGAGAGGTGAAAGTTCAAATCCAACACCTAATGATTATATTTCAGATGATCTGCAGAATTACAATCTAGTCAGAGATAGATAGAGACGCACCAATGTAAGGCCTCCTAGCATATTGGGTTATGAAGACTTGGTCTCTTGTGCACTTCTCATTAGTAGCGATGATTCAGCCACTTTTCAAGAAGCTATCACTAGTCAGGAGAAAGAAAAATGGATGGGTGCAATGGTTGAGGAGATGGAGTCTTTGCAGAAAAATCGCACTTGGGAGCTAGTTCAACTTCCAGAGGGAAAGAGGGAAATTCCAGAGGGAAAGAAGGCTATTGGGTGCAAATGGGTCTACAAAAGGAAGCCAGCAGTATCAAAAAAAGAATGGGAAAAGTTCAAGACTCGATTAGTTGCAAAGGGATTTTCACAGCAGAAGGGGATAGATTATGATGAAATATTTTCTCCTATGGTCAGACATACTTCAACAGACATATCAGGGCAGTGCTTGCATTAGTAGTCATTTGAGATTTGCATTTGGAGCAGATAGATGTTAAAACTGCTTTCTTGCATGCTGATTTGGAGGAGCAGATTTACATGGAGCAACCAGAAGGGTTCACTCAACCTAGACAGGAGCATGTGGTTTGCAGGTTAAAGAAATCGTTGTATGGGCTGAAACAATCTCCAAGACAATGATACAAGCGATTTGACTCCTACATGATGCAGATTGGCTACAGGCGATGTGGGGATTGTTGGTGTGTATTTGTTGAAAGCCCTTTTGAGGGGTTTCTTATTTACTGTATGTTGATGATATACTGATTGCTGCAAAGAATATGAATGATGTCTATGATTTGAAAGTTTTATTGAGCCAGAAATTTGACATGAAAGACTTGGGTCATACGAAGAAGACTCTTGGAATGGAGATTCATCGAGATAGAGGCTCAAGTCGATTATGTCTATCTCAGCGAGGCTTTGTTGAGAAAGTGCTGGAAAGGTTTGAGATGATCAATGCAAAGCCTGTGAACACTTTTTTGGCAAATTATTTTAAGTTTTCTTCAAAACAGTGTCCTAAGACTGATACAGAAATTGAAGACATGACAAAGGTTCCATATGTCAGTGCAGTTGGCTGCGTGCAGTATGCTATGGTATGTACTCGTCCTGATTTGGCTCATGCTGTTAGTCAAGTCTTCATGTTGTTAGTTAGTCAAGTCTGCAAATACATGGCTAAACCTGGAAGGCGACATTGGGAAGCAGTCAAGTGGATTTTCAGGTATCTGAAGGGTACTGTAGGACATGGAACATGGAATTATAGTCAGAAGAATGATCCTTCAGTTGTGGGGTATGTTGATTCAGACTATGCAGGTGATTTGGATGGCAGAAGGTCTACAACTGGGTATGTGTTTACTCTTGGTGGAGGGCCTATATGTTGGAAATCAACAATTCAGTCTATTGTGGCATTATCTACAACTGAAGCAGAGTACATGGCAGTAGCTGAAGCTGCTAAAGAAGCCTTATGGCTTGCTGTGCTAGTAATGGAACTAGGCTTTGAGCAAGGTGAAGTTCAGTTGCATTGTTATAGTCAAAGTGTTATTTATCTGGCTAAGAACCAGGTGTACCATGCGAGAACCAAGCACATTGATGTCAGGTATCACAAGATCAGAGAGTTGATTGCTTCTGGGGAGATACTGTTGCAGAAGGTTCATACTGATGAGAATGAAGTTGATATGTTGACCAAGCCAGTTACTATCAACAAGTTCTTGCATTGCTTGGACTTGTTGAATGTTTGCAGTTGCTAGAGAAGCATGGTGGCCCAACCCACAGTGGTGCAGGTGTAACTCCCAGGTATTCTTCTCCTAAGGGGCTGGATATTCTCTAAGGTGGAGATTTGTTATGGTATAACTCATATACCATATCGGGACAGACGCTAGATCGAAGCGGAGCGGAGCGGAAGAATCTGTCCAAATTGGGAAGTTACGTGGGTTGGGGTGCGGGGGCAAAGCCCCGCGGTATGGTACAGGGGTAATGTTGTAATTACGTATTGTGCCTATGTTTACTCCTGGGATTATAAATAGGCATGTTAGTAACCCCATGAGGTATCTCTGGATTCTGTAACCTCTTTTCTGAATATTGAAAGGAACTCGCCGCTCTGCTCCCGAGGACGTAGGCATCTTTGCCGAACCTCCTCGTTAAATCTCTGTGTTCTTCTGAAATTGTGTTGATCACTGTTTTTCTTCGCCCTAATTTTCTCAATAGTACCCTTCAACGTACCCCTTGCCAACTACAAGTTGTGATGTATTATCAATAGTCTGAATGCTCTCTAGTACAGCTAGGAGAGTATAGAAAAACTCTTTTACTTGTTATATGTCAAGATGCACTAGAATCTATTATCCATTTTGATGATCTTGTGGTGGAAATAGAAGCAAGATCAAGTGCATCACAAGTGCCTTTGTCTGAGTAAGCATAAGTGACAATGTTACTATTTGATGATGACTGGTTGAAAGCAACCTCAGCCCCATCTCAGTTGTTTTTTGCATCCTCTTCAAAAACTCCAGACACTTATTGGTAAAAATCACACGTCTCTCCCTCCTCTGATACCACATTTGTCGGTAGCCTCCTTTCCACATTTTCGACCACCACAACCTCCACCCTTTCCACGTCCACCTATCTCTTTTTCCTTAGGTGACCTAGGAAAGATCTTGCTAAGATGTTTGACTTCACCAAAGTTGTAGCACTTGAGAGTCTCCCCCTGGACACCTATCATACCTGAGCTCGAGACAGCTAACGTTGATCGCGCACCTATAAGTCCACTCGACTTAGAGTGTAGCTTCATGTGACTCTCCTCCTATATCATTGCAGCAATGGGCTCATCCACTGAAGGGATAGTTGCTTGAGCTAGGAGGACTAATCTCCTCTAATCAAAGGTCGGGTTCAGAAGGGTCAAAAAGTGCATAATTCTCAAATGTGTAAAGATCTCCTCTTTCTTCCACTCTGAATCGCAGCAAGTCGACATTGGTGAGAAGTGATTAAGATATGCCCGCATCCACTCCAAATATGGTGTATTCCTGGATCGATATATCACCATGTATCATTGTTTCTATCTCACACTGAATTTAAAACACTCTCATGTGATTCGTCGTCCCAACATAAATCCTCTTCATCTTTGCCTAGATGCCCCTCACTTTTCGAATGTCATCTACTGATGAGACAATCGATGGACCATCGGGTTAAGAAGCTAGGAGTAAAGTAAGGCGTGTATAGCCTCTAGTCATCCCCCTCAGCATTGTCATCCTCTAGCTCAGCCTCGACTCCCGTCAGATATCCATCTAGTATCTTCCCTATTCGAGTAACGTCGATCATACGCGACCAACTCAAATACGTGATCGGTCCATCAAGCTTCAGATCCATAAAAGGGAGATATAGCTTCACTTGCGTCAGAGCTTCAGATCTTGAGGCAGTGGCTCCCATCGAGACACTAGCTCCCTATATAAATCCGATCAAGACGTTTAGAAATTTATGACCATTCTTTTCCAGATACTTCAATCATTTACCTCTTACATCACGTCCTTTTCCTGACACTTTCAATCACAAAGATCCAAATCTATATCACACACGACTTCTTTCCTCTTCTTGATTCAATCTTTATCTACTTCAGCCTCAAGATCGAGATCCAACTCATTAAACTTTCTCTCACCTTCCGCTCCACATCCCTTACGCTGAAGTCACGCATCTCTTTGTTTGTTCCTCTCTGTCACCTCCCCCTGACTTCGCACAATGCTGCTCCACTCCTTCCTCTCGTAGAAAACCCAGTAGCTCTGTCCTGCCCGAATCCTCGAGATACAATCGTTTCCTCGGGATCACAATGTACAAAGAACCCTTCGTGACTGAAGGGAAGGCGACGACGTGAACACTTCCCGGGAACCTGCGGAAGTTTCGCACATCGCCACCGCAGTCGTCGGAGACCTCTATTTATCGACTGGAGCAGGTAGAGATGAGGTGAGTCGAGTCGTCAATGGTTTTATGTCATGATGGAAATCGACGAAGAGATCGAACCTGCAATACAGTCGCAATCTGTGAAGGAGAAGACGAGAGGCAGCTAACCTAGGTCAAGCTCTGATACCAAAAATAATAAATTGCTCAAAAATTTCATCCGTACATTTATAACACGGGCTTAAGTAAGGCATTACAATGTTTTACAAGTAAGCCCAGAGACTTTGTTTACCAATAGGACACTAAATAAGGTCCAATACTCAAACAATGTCTTATGTAAAGTTTCAATGACGAAAAATAAAAATTCAATTTTTACACTGATTTACTTTTAACATACACAGGAGTTTCAAAACTACAACCCTTTTCCTCTGATAACCTTATAAACAACTCACGAAGCTCATAAGTGCACTAATGGAGTACAAGATTAAACCAAAATGAGAAAAAAATTGAACGATGAGCATTCTAGGCTGGTCTTCTATAAGGGTGAATACTACACACCACTCTCTTCAATCTGACTCGCAGAGTTCTTTACTGAGCTTTAAAGAAACCAACAGCAGCATCTAAAATGAGATGGAATTCGACCGGATTGTCGTATCCGTTCCGCCTGGCGAGATATCCTCGCTGTTTGTGAGTTCAACGTGGCCTCAGCATTGGCTCGTTTCTCCTCCGCCCTTCGCTCTGTTGCTCGAAGTTTCTCTGCCATGGCCGCCTCTGCACGAGATCTCATGTTTACGGCTCGGATCTGATGGTTTTATCGAGAGAGTGGTTCATGAGTTTCCCAACAAGAATGATGCTTCTAAAAATGGTAAGATTTATCAGCAGAACAATGAATGTGGAGTTTGGTGTTGATTAAATTTGATTTAGTAGCTTTATTGTGTGATTAAATGCATAAAATTAAATTAAGGTCCCTCCTTTTTCCCAAAATTTGTGGTTTTGTTTGATATAAATTTGTTGAAACGAAAAGTATTTCATAAAATAATGTTTCCCATATGAGATTCATGAAGTACTTAACCTCATTTATTTTCTCAACAAATCGCTGTGGAGCCTAAAGTTTGATGTCTGGAGAAAATATTATACATTGGTTTGCTTCCATTGTCTTTATGTTGTCCGGAGAAACAAGATTTTAATTCTTCGCAATCAAATTACAGTAAAATCCAAAATGACGGTATGATACAAACAAACGTAGAAAAGCAATAAACAACATAGATAAATAGCAACTATGTTGATAATTGGTCAACCTATTGCTTGTCTAAAACTCCATGTAATGGGGGAGAAAGGGATTGAGCAATATAAGAAGCCTATAACTGCATGGATTTAGGGGTGTAATACTCACCTTATAACTTCCTAACACACCTAATAAACCTTGACCTACAATGACATTAACTGCTATAAAATTTATGTGATAATAATAAAATAAATAAATAAAAGAACATTCAAAGTTTACAAGAAAAACCCAAGGCAGAAAAAATCACGGGTAGAGGAAAAGAATTTATCATATTGTAGAAAAAATTCACAAAGTGGAGAGTGTAGGGCTCACATAAGACTGAACTAAACTAAGTGAATTATTTCTTGTTAAAAAAAAAAGTATTTATAGACATCAACAATACCCCTTTGAAGTAAAAAACTCAAAGAGGGTCAACAAAACAAGAGCACGCAGATTATAATCTAAAGGCTTTCATAGGATTAATCCAATGGTAGAGGCTTTCGTGTACTTAAAATTTTTATTAAGGCGAGCAAGACAACAAAATTTAGATCATAAATTTAATAATCTCCTCCTAGACAATTCTAAAAAGAATCTTCAATCTTCAACTGAATATTCCCCACCTCTCTATAAAATAACTCTAAATATAATCCATGAATACCGATCAAGCCTAAGTAATGCTCAAACTTAACAATTGAGAATGTCTTGATCATCATATCAACAAGATTATCATGGGTACAAATTTTGATCACAAAAATTTCTGGAATAAAGTGATAAGCAAAATCGAGATGTACTTAATTCTCCCGTTAAACATTTGATCTTTAGTGACATAAATACCATCATCGCTATCACACATCAATGTAATAATTTTCAAATCTTCACGGAAGCCTCCAAATAAATCTTTCAACCAAATATTTTTGCACAAGTTTTAGTAATTATCATGTACTCAACTTCACTTAATAGATAAGACCATTGCAATCTATAATACGACCTTCAAGCTAGTCGCATAACTGCGGACAATAAATTCATACCATGTAAGTGATTTCCCTCTATCATAATCTCTAGCAATATTTGAATTAACATAGCCGATGAATTTATCTATAGTTCTTTCAAACTGCAAACAAGCATCTATTATTTCACACAAGTACATGAGAACCCACTAAACTATTTTTCAATACTCTTTACGCAGATTACTCGTGAATTTGTTGACTACACTGACTGTATATGATAAGCCTAGGCGAAAACATATCATAACATACAAGAGAGATTCCACTGAACTTAAATATGAAACTTAATGTATAATCTCATCATCCGATTATGAATATAAAACTTATTAAAGTCCAAAATACATAGCTGAGTACTCACATGTTTGACTTTGTGCATATTGAACATGTGCAAAAGTTTTTTAATGTACCCCTTTTTACTTCAAAAAAATGTCTTTCTATCTCTATGAATCTTCATGCCAAGTATAGTTTTTGCAACTCCCAAAATTTTCATTTCAAACTAACCACTCAATTAAGTCATCAAATTATTAGTTTCTCTTATATTCTTGATAGCTATTAACATATCATCAACATATAAAAGAAAGTAGACAAATGACTCATCATATTCCTCTTTAAATAAATATAACTATCATAATTACTCATCTAAAACTCATGAACAATCATAAATGAGTCAAATTAGTTGTACCATTGCCTAGAGACTGTTCAAAACATAAATAGACTTAATCAATAAAAAAAGATAATCTTTTTTCCTATTACCATGAAGCCCTCAGATTGCTACATATAAATACTCTTCTCGAGCTTATATTGCAAAAATACAATCTTTGCATCAAACTGCTCAAGCTTGTGGTCATAATTAATCAAAATATCAAGTAAAGCTCAAGTTAAACAATGTCCACTGGAGAGAATACATATGTAAAATATACACCTAAAATTTGATCGAATCACTTTGCAACTATGCAACTAGTTTAGTCTTATATCTAGCACCTTCAACTCTTGATGTACTTTCTTTTTATTTTAAACACATTTACATCGAACAACTTTCTTTCCTTAATACAGTTTTACTAAATCTTAAGTACTATTTGTGTAGGAAATAAATCTCTTCCTGCATAACAATAATCCATTTATTAGAATCAACTGCATTAATTCTCTTTATAACTAGAATTTTTTTTACCACATTCGATGCCTTTAGCCAAATTTAAGACATAGGTAACGAAATCAAACTCATAATATATCTGTGGCGGCTTAATTTCTTTCCTCGTTCTATCATTGACAATAGAATATTATGGTGATCGTTGTCATGACGATGAAAAACATCATTAAAATAACTGTATAAACTTGATTAGTAAGTCATACCAGAGGATATACTTATCATAATTTGAAACACCACGTGTCTACTACACCTTTCCTCCTGATCAATATTACTAGATCTTGTAGTAGGTGTTACATGTAATAATTTAGACTTTCACCAAACACATCTCTTCTAGTGATCACTTTATTAATTTCTAGGCACCATAACTTGCATCCCTTAATTTTAATTTTATAACTAAGAAATGCCCACTCTATATATCTAAGTTATAAAATATGATTATCACATGAGCACATATAGAATAAAAAAAAATCATTAAATTAGAGGAATTAATAGGTTTACCTCACCAAATCTCCTGTGAAATCTTTTTACCAAGACTGATTGAAGTAGGGCAATTCACCAAGTAACAAGTTGTCGAAGAGTAACTTCAGCTCAAAATGATTCAAGTAACCCAGCACTTAAGAGTACAATGCACCTCCATTAGTCATATTCATTCACTTTGTTATATCATTTTGATGTAGAATAAATGTGAAGTATCTCAGAATTCCTTCTGATTATAGAAAGAACTAAAATCTTCAGAACAATACTCCAGGCCATTATCAATGTGGAGATAATTAACCTGCTCACTAGTTTGATTCTCATTTATAACACTTTTTAAATGTAATAAATACATCACGTTTGCTTCAAAAAAAAATAAATTGTTTTCTTAAAAAATCATCAATAATTGACAAAATATGTTTGAAATCACCCTAATAATATGTGGTCTAACATCCCCTCATTATCATGAATGCATGTGTTGAACTTAACTCTCATATGCTTTTCAAACATGTAGTGCTCACTGAACTCTAATTAAGTAATATTCTGAACATTAGAAAGTCCTTTTCTACTAAAGTCCAGTCATCCCATACGGCATTTTGTATCAAAATCGCATGTGCAAATGTATATTTGTTTCATCAACAAACATTGAAGAAATCATAACTGCTGCATCAGAAATCACTATAGAGTCCTGTAAGATATATAGTCCCGAGACCTTCTTTCCTTAATGATAATAAGAGTCTTTACTGATTTTAAAAATTCGACCTTCACCAAAGTACTTGTAATCTTCAACATCAAGAATACTTAAAAAAATTAAATTCATTTTCTGATTAGGGATATGTCTCGCACTCAGAGTGTTATAACAAATCATCAAACATTTTAATTATGATAGTTCCAATGTCGATTATCTTACAAAGAATATTATTGTCCATTAACAAAAAACCTTTAAACATTATTTTATAAGTTGAAAATCAATCTTAATTGGAACACATATGAAACATGCAAGTCAAATAAAAAACCTAATCATCGAAGGGTTCATTATAAGAGATAATTAAGAGTTCATCATCACTAACTTGATCAAATGATTCGATTGCCTAACTTCTTGATTAGGAGTCACTTTCTTACTCTTATTTTGTAGTTCGTGGCATTTAAATTTGATATGCTTATATAGTAATTACAACTCTTATTTTTATTCTTAAATTTTGATATACTCTTCGTATCAGCACTAAAACCACTCTCTTGAATTCTTAATCTAACAGCATAGCCTTCTACCTGAGCTGCAGGTTCTTCCAAAAGTTGTTTCATCTACTATTTAAAGGACAAAGCATAATATACTTCGTCCAGAATAAGTGTCATGACTATATAAAATAATATCTTTAAATATTGCATATGATGTAGGTAGTAAATGTAACATGATTAATATTAAATTTTCTTCATCATACGTAGCCTCCATGACCTCCAAATTAGAGAAATTTTTTAATGATAGTCAAATGATCAATAAAATATGCACCCTCAGAAATCCTAAGGTAGTACAAAAGTTGCTTCATATATGACTCACTTATAAGAATTTTTGTCATACACGGCTACTCCAAACAAAACGATTGTCTTTTTCTTCAAAACATCTTGTAGAATTTGATTTCACAAATGAAGATGAATTTGCGATAAAATCTTTTGCTCCTTCTGTTGCTTCCCTCCAATGTGCATGATGAGGGCATTTTATCAAAATCTAAGCAGTGCATCATCTAAATCTAATTGCGCCAAAATAGCCCATATTTTAGCATGTCAAAGCAAAAATATAGTGTTGTGATCCAAATCAAAATGTCACACTTCATTGTTGCCATTGTCAAAATAAAATTTAAAAAAAAAACATCACTCTGATACCACTTATTATAAAATTCTTGCATTAAACAATGAAATAAACAAAGGAAAGAATCCAAATTTTAGGCACGAAATTCAAGATGGAAAAAATAATGATCATAAGAGGAGAATTCACTCTATTGAAAAAAAGATTCCTTGTGGAGAATGTCGGTTCATAATTCATATAAGACTGAATTAAAAAAAATAGGTTATTTATTGTACAAAGAAAAAAATATATTTATAGATTTATATTAGACCTCTTAAAAGTAAAATGCTTGAGAAAGTTAATAAAGCAAGAGCACAAAATTACAATCTAAAGACTATTATAGGATTACTCAAATGGTAGAGGCCTTCAATATGCGTGCTTATAATTTCCTAGTAAGAGGTTTCGAACCAACAAAATGCAGGTCACAAATTTAACACCAATTCATCCAAACCCTCATTACGTTTATTCATATCACAGTAAAAAGATATAGCCATCAATTGGTGAACTTACATATAAGTTTTTATGTATTTGTGCATTGATTTTCACTTTCTTTTTTTTTTTTCTTTGTCCATACTTGCTATATATACTTGCTATATATAATTCGCTTAATATTGTGGCAAACAGTGTTAGCTTTAACTCCTGGATAGAGGCAAATTGGCATGGAGGAACTCAGGAACGAAAGAAATTAAAATATGTCTAGTGCTAGGATAAACCTTAAAACAATAGGCAGCAGACCCAATTATCAGGCTTACAATCACTTTTACAAGTGCATGGAACTAACGGAACTTTTGACTAGGAAAATTGGAGCAGAGAGGATAAAAATTTCCAAAACTAGGAGTATGGATTCCTAAAACATCCAGCCATAAATTTACCCGAATATGAATCTTCCCGCATCTTCCCTCCAACTAAACTTAGAAATTCAATATAATGCAACGCATTGAATTTAATAAACATGCATGAGACAACAAGAAAGCATGGAACTAACAGAACTTTTGACTAGGAAAATTTTTAGCTGAGAGGATAAAAATGACCAAAACTAGGAGTATGGAATCCTAAAACATCCAGCCATAAATTTACCCGAATATGAATCTTCCCTCATCTTCCCTCCAACTAAACTTAGAAATTCCATATAATGCAACACATTTAATTTCATAAACATGCATAAAATACCAGGAATAATTAAAAAGGAAGTATTACCTCTACTTTTCTCATTCTAGCCTCATGTTTTGCTCTTTGGTGGCTTTCCCATACTTGAATCTTGATTTCATCTCGTTTATATCTGAAAAAATATATATTTTTTAGATTAAAGAAATGAATAAAAATCAGTTACCATCATTGAGTGATAGAGAAAAAAAAAAAAAACTCGAGCGGTATGGTTAGCTACAGAGAAAGCAATAATGATTATTACAGTGATATGGTTAATTTCAAACAGTCAGTTCAGATATTTGTAAAAGGAAAGTAATAACAATTAGTGTAAGATATTTCAAGGATTTTTTTTAATGTTTCAAGAAAAATATAATAAACATCACATTGCTTCCAGCAGAGCTCAGAAAAATTAGATTTAACTAACAGGAAACCATACAGCAACTACTACAGCTTTAGTAAGCAAATAGCACTGATTAAGGAACATAAACTTGAATGAAAAGTGCTGTATCACCTCAAGTGGATTTAATCAAACCCCAGTTCTCCCCGTTACAACCTGATACTCAAGTCTCATTCCATGCAATTGGATTTTCTTAGAAAAAACACGCTAATCTAGCTGATATTAGACTGCAATAAGCGTCTATTTTACTCAAACATGATAAGAATGATTAACTTTGAACCATGGACAGGGACGTGTTGACACAAACACGACACATAGCCATGCTGACGATATAACTATAAAAAATAGAATATTATATGTCATGGACACAATATCAGATTTTGTAAGTTACTAATATAAAATATGTAATTTATAGTATTTTTTAAGTGAAGTGTATGATCAAAGTACGTTAAACTGAATCAAGCGATCGTGGACGGAACACGTAGCAGAGAATCAATAACTGTAAGCACAAAGAGCTATCAATCGGGACGAAGCAGGTGATCCAGTGAAACGAATCGAAAAGGCCGACCGAATAAATAGATGAACGGCTCGCTAACCTAGGAGAAAGCGAAGCGGAGAACCGACGAGTAACAATTCGGCCATAATGATGGTTATCTTGATAGTTACGGCAGCCAATCGGCAATAGAAAATTTTAAGAGCATCATTGACATTTCGAAATGTAACTTTTACCTAGTATAAATTTAGGAACATTAACATGTAAAAATGAAAACGTGGAAGAAAAACAAAGAGATATATTGCTGAAAATATATTCTTAAGGCTCTTAAATATCTTTACCCCTCTTTTTCTCATTCGCTTCTTATTTACGCTCTATTTCTTGGGTATGATACACAGACAAATATTAGTTTAACATGATAATCTCACTCAATAAAGTATAATATCATATGCATAAACTTCACAAAAAGAAACTTATCATAATAAAAGAAAAGCTTTATCACACGTGACAATTGTCATTTTTTAGCAACACTCCAATATTAGCATCTATTAATCGTTGTTAATTGTCACACATTTTGTGTGTGTATTCATATCTCAAAGTGGGTTAGCTCTCATGCTTATAGCCTTGTAAAATATCCAAACCATGATCGAACATATCTTACCTGCGCCAGAATCTAATTTTGTCTTGAAATACTATTGGCCCAATTTTGAGTGTGTCAAAAGAACACTATCTAACAAGTGCACAACAAAAATATGAACGATATTTGAAAGCATTTGTGCTTCCTATATGATTAGAAATGATTTTATTTGAGGTGCTTTTAGAGGCCCTTAAGAATAATAGACTCGTGAGTAGCTTTACTCAATTTAAAAAAAAATTGTATTCCCCAGATTCGCCCATCAAGGTATCACTATCCGCCCATTAGGGTATCACCTGCCCCTCTTCATCGGGCTTTTACTAGGAGCACTCGATGCATATATTTTCATGGCGTTAAAATTTTCTACAAACAGCAATACAAAACTGAGACACTTATTTATCAATGCACTAAGCTCACTTGATAATCCCTCCCCTCCAATACTCACCAGCTGCCACGCATACACAAACCCATATACATTTCTAATCCCACCAGAAAATTTAAAGGTACTATATATTGGCAAAGGACAGACAAAGTTTGGGGAGAAACAGGAAAATGAATGAAAAAAAGCTAGAAACATTCAATTTACCACCTGAAAAGCATAATCTTCTTTGTCTAGCAAAAAATACAAATGTGTGGTTAAGAAGTTAACAACAAGATCCTCTAAATAGGCAGAAACTTGATAGGAGCAAACTATAGTATAAGGGCACGTAACAACTACCTGGACAAGTACTTAGATTTCTCAGCTTCTTCCCAAGCTGCAGCACAAACTTGATAATCCAGCTTCTCAGGTTCTTCCTCATCAATTTTTTTATTAAAATGAGAATTATGCTCTGTCTCTTTGCTAGCCCAGGAGGCTATGTTCAGTTTACCAAGCTGTAAGCCAAGCGCTGCAATTTCTTGTCTAGTTTTCAGCTGCAATTCCCTTTCAGAAAATTCCACCTTTTTACCATCTTTCTGATAATCCTTTTCATTCTTAGTAGTGGGGGAACTCATATCCATTTCTACTGATCTAATTCTTGGAGATGTGGGGATTGAAGATAATGGGCTACGGCTAGGTGTTAAATTTTCAATAGGTGTTGCTGTTCTTGATGGCTCCTGACTTGGAAATGGAGTCATCTCTGTGCCTACATCTCTCATTGATACCAGCTGTTTGTCAGAAATGTCTGCAATAAAAATTAATAAAAAAATGTTTGCTGTATTCTTCAGCTAAAAAGCCACCTTTAACAATATGCATGAGAATAATAACAAAACCTGCAGTTTCAGAAGGAAAACTCTCCGGAACTAATAATTTTTCATGATTCAAATCCTTCGGAAGTTGACCGAAACTGACAAAATCACCACTATCTTGAGAAGGATATGCCAAACAATTTGCATCATTTGATGAAGCTGAAATCGCATGCAATCCCTCAGAAACAAATGAAAACTTTTCTGCCATATTTTGTGGATTAAAATTGCTGGCTGATTGCTGAATCCCAAAAGGCTTCTGATCCATAAGAATTGATTCTGGAGCAATCCTTGCCCCGCTGGAATTTACCAACCTATTGCACTGATACTGCACTGAATTCTTCTTCGATTCATTTTCCTGCACTGCTTGCCTATTAACAAGCCATTTTTCTGCATCATTCCATTTCGATGGAATATGCCTAGAGAAAGGACCAATAGCTGGATGTTGGGAAACTTTTCCTGCTCGATGGAACTCAAAAGCCGAAGTGCTTGCACTCTCATGGCCACTGTCACAAGCAATATCATCTACTTCCTGCTGCTTCATAGGGTGCACTGTGCAGCAGTTGTTTCCAAGTTTGGGTTGATAAGAAGAATTACAACTATTATTCTGGTTTTTTGTATATTTTGTCTCAGAAACTCCTTTAAAAAAAGAATTTGAAGAAGAAGACTGGTTTTGAAAGCCTTCACCATTTCGCGAGGGTTCTTTGAAACAAAACTGAGTTTTATGAGACCTAGTGTTAATGGAAGAGATTGTAGAATCCTTAGAGCCAACTGTAAGAAGCACAGCATAGAACTCATGGTGAAAAGTCAATAAACAAAAAATTGGAAGAATGAGTATTATGATCATTAAAAAGTAGCCCAAAATCAAGAAAATTGCTTCTAGTGATACAAAATTTACCAACCTTCATCATCAAGATCATCAGCCAGTAAATTTCTCTTAGCAAACTCTGTGTCCTCAAGCTTGGATGGGGAAGCTCTTGAGGAACATCCCTCTTCCTTTCTTTTGATATGTTGAGCTCCGAGAATTTTCATCCTTAGTTTAGTGGGAGAGATAATTCCTAACTGCATTAATTGAAGAAAAATCTAATTTGTAATCCAATGACAATCATTTCGGTTACTTGAGAATAAAAATAAGGCCCATCAATTCAAAAAAGACAAAGATTTTTACCCTGACTTTGGATCTATTGCTTTTGAAACTGAGATTAATTTTTACTTCAATTAAAATTAACTCTTACTTAAAAGGTTTGAATCTTCTCAGTATTATACTGAGATCTGAACTGAAGCAATAAATAACACACACAGGCTTTATATTACGATGAACTCTTACTCTTCATCGTTCACAGGTGCCTCTGCAGGCCTGAATTTATTACAGAAATCGCATTTATAAAGTTTTATATTAGGCAACAGGCAACACAATCAATAACTCTCATTAAAGCTGTCGGCAGAAAGAATGGCTTCCTCCAAAAAATTTGCAGATGCAAATTCTACTATTGCTATTCAATTCAAAATATTCTGCAAATAAGATGGAGATTGCACTGAAATAAAAAAGACGTAGGATTCGTAGTCCATTCTTCAAGAAAAAAAACTATATCTTGAACAATAAGTGGATTATTTCACCAGAAAATGCTTCTTGCGACGTGGAAATCTCGGAGAACACGAGAATCACAAAACCCTTGCAGATTATTGACAGAAAAAAAGAGATAGAAACGATGTGCGGCCGGGTAGAAAGTATTTTCAAAATAAAAAAGCAGTTAGAACCTAGAAGTAAATCAAAAAATTCGTTGCAGAACTCTCATTAATTAATGGCTTCCCAAGCTAGTAAGCAAGCATTTTAGAGAGCTAAAGAAGAGATGGTTTGCTTTGTGAATAAGAGAAACGGGGACTCATACCTGAACTTTGTGAATCCTCTCGTAGTCCATGGATGCAAAAGGTGAGATGCAGAGACTCACCCACAGAGAGACAGAGATAGAGAGAGAAGGTCGATGCAAGAGCCCTGCGAGAGCATTTTGTAGGTGAGATGAGCGAGCGGAACAGATATTAATCGCCGACTCATTCGAACTCCTCGGCAGCGTCCATCCCGTCAGGCTTCATAATTATTAAAGTAATTTTTGTAATATTTTTAAATATATATTTCATAATTATGAATTATGAGAATTGCTTCATATACTTTTATTCACTGATTTTTCATCCGTAATCGGTGCAAGTATATAATTGAATAATTATTATCTCGCTCTTAATATTGATCCAAAAAATAATGCTAAATAAAATTAAATATAAGGAGCTACAAGCTCATTTCAAGCTGAAATGGATCCAAATAGCACAATTTGAGTCATCTTGTTTTGATTTCGAGCCGATTATGAGCTAGAACTGTTCAAAATAACTCAAATTTGGGCAGCTCATATTGATTTCGAGTTGGATCGAGCTCGAACCAATTTAGATTTGAGATGGCTCAAAATTCCACATAACGAGTCGTGAGATGATTTTGATCCTCAATTCATTCGAGCCAATTTCGAACTTGCCCCAGTTCGTTAATGATCTTCAGTAGATTACTTTGACTAGGGGAGGCCCCACTGTTTAGGATTTAGGGTTTCATATTACTTGTGAGTACATGCAACTATATAAAAATCGTGTTTTTTGAATGAAAATGAAAAAAAAAAAAGTGATGGATGTTAAGCATGAGTGAGTGTCCTCAGCTTTTTTCTTTTTGAGCTTGAACCTCTGGTGAGCTGAAAAATTGGCTCATAAAATGTTTCTTGGATCACAATGGGGGAGGGCTACTCATGATATATAAAAATTGGCTTCAGTTTTTATATATAAAAGGTTACTCATAAAAGGTTACTCATGATATAAAGACTCTGTTATTCAATATCATGAGTGTAAACGGGCTAAGTATGAGCTAGCTAGGTAAAGTTTTGTTCGCATTCAACTCGTTTATAAAAGTTCGTGCTCAAAATTGGCTCTTGTTTGAGTTAGGCCCGTATGAAATTTGTTCATGTTCGACTTAATATTGATCTTGTTGTCGAATTAACTCATCTTTGTGCTAGATTTTCCAAGCATTAATTAAATTAATTAAAGTTTGTAGGTGAAAGATTTAAACATGCACACTTCTTTTGTAATAGAAGACACCTCACCACTCAGCACATGAATTATAGTTATATATATATATATATATATATATTGTTTTGGGCTAAAACAAGCTAAATTCAATCAAGTAAATAATTGTTCCAGTTCAACTCACTCATTTAACAAAAAATTCAAATAGGAGCTATTTAACAAGCCAACATAGAGCTCTTTTGCACCCTTAGCGGTACATAATTGATTATTTATCAACTTCTTCATGGAGATCCATGGCGGCTCAAAAGCATTGAAGAGCGGAGGTGGAGGGACGCTGCAATTGCTGGATGTGTGTGTATGCGCGCGAGAGAGAGAGAGAGAGAGAGAGAGAGAGAGATGAGGGGGTTTAGAGTGAGTTATCAATTATTAAGGAAAAGTGCTATTTTTGCATTTATTTTAATATTTTAGGTGCTGTAATTGTAAATATATAAATTTAAATATAAAATTGTGGGAGTCCCACATAAGATTCATAGGAGGATCCTTAAATTTAGATATTTAATTTTATAGAAGGATAATTTATTCTTCCACTCTTTCTGAAATATCATTTTTAATCCTTTTTGAAATATCACTATCTTAGGATGCGTTTATGGGAGCTTATTCATAGCGATGGCGTTTTGAGTACACCACCAGCTGCTTGGATGATGCGTTTTGGAGGCATTTTTAAAAACGTTGTTCCCAGGTTTATATTAAACGAGAATCGCGGCGCGATGCTCGTTTTGTCTGAGCAAAAGACATATGTTGCCTCGTAGCACTCGCCTGCTTCCTTCTCGCGCACGACTGAAACCTTGCTGCCTGCCCTCGCTCATCTGCCTCCCTCTACCGATCGAAGCTCGGCTTGCTCATCCACCTCCCTCTACGACGAAGACATCTTGCTCGACTCCTTCCTGCCGAATCGAAGCCCCATTCGTCTCCTCTCCTTTCGGCGTCGAACAGCGCTCGGCTTCGCCTCCCTCACTCGACCTGCTCCCTCTCTTGACAGAAACTTGCTCGTCTCGCCTCCTTCCTCCTCATCTCACCAAAATCTGATGTCTCACAAGAGCATCCTTCCTGAAGGTATAATTTTTTTTTAAAAAAAAGCAAAATCGATCGATGCCTTTGGCTGCCACAATTCATCATCAGTATCTACATATAATTATATCTCATGAAGGATGCCAACTATTACTTATGTTATTTTTTAAAATGGGTATATGTTTTAATTTCATTTCATGGACAGAATGATCATTTATCCAGAATCAGTTGTTTTCCAAACGCACAAATCAAACAGTCAGACAGTTTATCAAGATCAGATGTTTATCAGCAGCTCATCAGGATAAACAATTTATCATGATAAGTTGGATAAGCTGCAGCTGTTGAGTTTTGGAGCTCGGTTTGATCGCTCCGGCTCTCGCTCTTCTGATCGCAAAATATCGCGACCTCGCTCCCGCTCTCGATTGCGAAAAGTTGTGACCCCAACTCTCATTCCCGCCTGGCGTCAAATCGCAAACAGCGCCAACAGCTCCCGCCTTCCTCTGTCGCGAAGCAAAGCATCCCTTCGCTCCTTGTTGTTTCGCGATAAAAGAGCGACTCTCTTTCAGAATTAGTTTATTTCACAACCCTTTTTTGTGTTCTTCTTCAGGTTTCCTCGGGATAGAGGAAGAGAAATGCAAGCAGTAGTTCCTTGCAGCAGAAGGAAGAAAAAAGAAGAAGAAGAAGAAGAATATTGTTCTTCATTGGCTTCTTCTTGGTGGCTTGTGGCATAAGAGAATTTGAGTTTATTTCTCTTGTAAGTTTATCTTCTTCGGTGTATCTCGTTGTAGAGAGAGAAGAAGAGAGAGCAACGAAGTGAGAGATTCCACCTGTAAGTCGAGACGATCGATTGGTGTAAATTCCTCAAGTAGTAAAATCCTCTGCAACTCCGTGAACGTAGACAATTTGCCTAACCATGTAAATCTGTGTGTTATGATGTGTTATTGTTTTCTGGTGTGAATTTTCTCGTTCTAATTTTTGCTTCATCATCGAAGATAGTTTTTTTATATTATATATACCACAACAGTTAGTAACAGAGTCCTGGTTTCATATCTGAGAAAGAAAAATGATTGCAGATGGAATGAAGGTTTCAAGGATCGAGAAATTTGATGGCACGGAATTTGGTTTTTGGAGGATGCATATAGATGATTGTCTCTATGGGAATAAACATCATTTTCCGTTTTTTGGGAACAGACCTAAAAGGATGGATGAGAATGAATGGAATCTGTTGGATCACAGGTTCTGAGGTTATTCAATTGACTCTATCGAGGTTCGTTGCACACAACATCGTCAATGAGAGGACGACTGCAGATCTCATAGCAGCCTTGTCAGGTATGTGAAAAGCCATCGGCGAATAACAAGATTTATTTGATGAAGAAGTTATTCAATTTGAAGATGATGGAAGGTGTTTCTGTTGCTTAACACCTGAATGATTTCAATAATATCACAAATTAATTGTCATATGTTGAAATTAATTTTGATGATGAGATACGTGCGCTGATATTATTGGAATCGTTGTCAAATAGTTGGGAAGCCATGAGGATGGTTGTTAGCAGTTTTGTAGGTAAATCTAAACTGAAATGTGATGATATTCGTGATTTAATTTTTGTCGAGGAGGTGCGCAAGAAAGATTCTGACGAGATCTCAGGTACAAGTTTGACACTGAATGTTAATTTTAGAGGGAGATGATAGGACAATAACTCGCATAGAGGGAGATTAAAATCAAAGTATGGTCAGCATGCAACCTGTTGGAATTGTGACAAGGTTGACCACATAAAGATGAACTACAGAAATCCTACGAAGATGGAGAATGATAACGAAAATGTGGTATATGAAGAAGTACATGATGCACTTTGTTGGCAGTTCATAGTTCTATTAATGATAGAAGTGAAGATGCGAGTGGGTTTGGGGCACACATTCATAGTGTTCCACAGACATATGGTGGATAACCACAGAGTTATGAAGAAATCTTGCGAGATGAAAGTTCGAGAGATGAAAGTTCGAGCAAAGCAAGTGGGAGCTAGCAGAACTTCCACCGGATAGTGTTCCACAGACAGATGTTATTTGTGTACCGATCTCCAAGTGGGAGGTTTGTTGACTTTTGGAGCCTGGTCCGACCGCTCCCGCTCTCGCTCTCCTGATCGCGAAACATCACTACCCCGCTCCCGCTCCCGATCACGAAAGCTCGCAATCCTAACTCCCAGTCCCGCCTACCGTCGATTCGCGAATAGTGCCAACCTCTCCCGCCTTCCTCTGTTGCTAAGTGAAGCATCTCTTTGCTTCTTGTTGTTTGGCAATAAAAGGAGCGGGTCTCCTTCAGATTTAGTTTACTGCACAACCTTTTTTTGTGTTCTTCTTCGAGCTTCCTCACGATAAAGGAAGAGAAGTGCAAGCAGTAGTTCTTTGCAGCAGAAGAAAGAAGAAAGAAGAAAGAATAAGAAGATTGTTCTCCCTTGGCTTCTTCTTGGTGACTTGTGGCAGAAAAGAAATTGGTTTTTTTTTCCCTTGCAAGTTTATTTTCTTCGGTGTATCTCGGTGCAAAGAGAGAAGAAGTGAGAACAACGAAGTGAGAGATTCCTCTTGTAAGTCAGGACGATCGACTGGTATAAATTCCTCAAGTAGTAAAATTCTCTACAACTCTGTGGGCGTAGCGAATTTGTCGGACCACGTAAATATGCGTGTTTCGCTGTGTTACTATTTTTTTGTGTGAATTTTCTCGTTCTATTTTTGCTTGATAATCAAAGATCGTTCTTCTATTCTATATATACCACAACAGAGCTGTCTCACTTAGCCTCTCTCACGTCCACCACCTTCCTCAAAAAAGTTATTCGTTCCACCCCTGATGTAAAATATGTAATATTAAAAGGTTTGAATGTTTTGTATA